ATAAATGCTTGTATTTATTCAGAAGTCGACGTAGATGTGCGATTTCATCTTCGCTGGTCAAATCACAGTCCAAATTATCGAAAACAGGAGATTTCGTACTCACATGATTGACAAGTGGGTTATGAACTAACTTAGTCCCGTTGGGTGTAATTATCATATTCAGATTGGAATCATGAATCAGGTTCATACCCACTAGAATATCTGTTGACATTTAGCCAGGTAACACGTAAAACTCCAGCTCAATATTGATGGTGTCTATAACGCATACGGTCGTAACCTTAGTTAAAGATAGTGCTGGAAATTGTCCAATCCCTTTCAAATAGTTGACTACTGGACTCCTTTGACCAGGTAGAACTAAAGCAACAGATTCTCGCATGATTGAGCATTCTGCCCCTACTATCGAACACAGCCTGCAATTTCTTTCTCCCTATTTTGATGGAGATAGGAGCCAGCTTACTGCCTGCCACATAGTTAACGTTTGAAGTCAACGAACGTTTCCGTTGGAAGCAAGTTTCATAAGTGTGGCCTGGTTTCTTGCAATGGGTACACGTAGGTACAGTTTGTGCTTTAGTGTCCTTGTTTCCAGCTTCGGGTTTATACTCCAAAGGTTTAAATCTGCAGTCATTGGTTGAGTGGTTTGTTTTCTTGCATATACGACAGCTTGATGTTGATTGTTGACTGAATCACTCCTTAGAATGAGCCCATCAGTGTGAACATCAAGATGGTGATTATTTAAATGATGTTATTATCAAAACTAAATTAAATTAATTTCCAAGAATGTCTTTTTGTTTATGAATTATTAAGAAATGAAATAGATACGGCACTCTAAAATGATGTTGTGATTTTTTGCCATTCTTTATCGCAAATTTTGTTCCAATAGTTTTTTTTATAGAAGAGGGGCCAAACGAGCATGCGGCTCACCTGATGTTAAGTGACTACCGCCGCCCATAATCAACCGCAACACCAGGGGAATTGCAGGTACATTGCCGGCCCGGTCGGCCGGCTAGGTCGTATCGGTTCGGAAAAATCCCCGGTGGTAAACTATTCCACAGAGAGGTCGTACGCGGAAGAAAACTCCTTGTGAAACGTACAGTGGTGGATCGCCACGCATCCAGATGGTGTGGATGGCATCGGGACGTTTGCCGCGTAGTGCGTTTATGAAATTTGGCTGCTAGTACTAAACTAACAATTCCTCAGAGCACTCCCCATGGTCTTTGCAAAAGAAAATGCAAAGAGATGCAACATCTCTTAGCAGCGCCAATGAATCGAGCCGATCAGAAAGCACTCGGTCGTCGACGATTCGAGCCGTTCTGTGCTGGATGCGGTCAAGTGGAAGGAGCTGGTACTGGGGAGCTCCAGCCTAGAGATGGGAACAGTATTCCATGTGCGGCCGAACCTGTGCCTTGTAAAGTTGCAGGCGGTGTGCCGAAATGAAGCGCGCCAAGCTTTTTAGAGGCTAATTTGCAGGACGGGATTAAAAGTCGGTGGGGCTGTAAGCAGTGAATGATTTAGGGCCCCTTATTTTTTTGTTATATAATTTAATTGTTAATATTTTTGTTTATGAATGCATACGTGAGACACAGTTATTTTTATGTTGTATATTTATTGATAAAGCAATATTCAAACTAATTTCATTTTTAAATGTATTTACAAAATTACTTAAAAACGATCGCTTACAAGTTAAACATTGTTTTTTCTGCACTTTTGACGAGCAAAATCTTCTATCAATTTGTCAAAATTCATGCGACGCATTGACGCATTACATCCGATTCAATTGACAGAAGAGCCAACGAACATAATCAATCTTGTCGCATCGTTGTCCTTAAAGGATTATATCCTTTTCAACCAATAATATTATAAGAAAAATAGGTAGATAGATTATACGCGCACCGCAAGTGGCACGTAAAAACTAGGCTAATTAGCAAACCTGAGCTCAGTCGTCGCGCTATCGTCGCGTCATTGACTACGGCGTTGATAGTAATTCGTGTTTTGTTTTTGCACCGAAAATGCTATCATATGTGATGAGATTCTGCACAAACTACACAAGAAAGGTTTCCTAAAGTTAAAAGGAATCATAATTCATTCGTTTACTATTTCCTTAATTTATTTTCGTATTGTTTACAAATTCCAAAATTACGTATTTTAAAATATATTGTGAGAAAAAATAGAGAGGGATAAAAATACCACAATGAGTGAATTTGAAAGAGAAGTAATATTGTTTCTGATCAAAGAATAGAAAAAAAAACAGATAGGTCTCTTCTGAGTATCGTAATTCAAATTGTGTACATATATTTCTTGTTTTATTGAAGGGTAAATTAACTATGTTATTATTAATTAATAAGTTCAATTAATTTGTTTTGTAGCGTAACGAGGTGGTATATACGTTCGTATATACATAATTATTACAGCACTTTATTTGATAATAAATTTTTAATAAAACCAATTTTTTTTCCTACTTTTAATGCATTTTTACTACTTTATTACTTTTACTACTTGCACTCATGAGTGAATTGCATTTTTAGGCATAAATCACGGTGTACGGTGTAAGGTCATATCTGATTAATTATTCTACATCGTTCCTACTACACAAGACCACGCACTGTCGCAAATTACATTTGTCTCTTTTACGCTTGCGAAAGTTTAATCATGCAATCCTACTTTGACGTCTAATCGTAATGTATTGTGCTATTGCAATATTTAGTTATTCATGTGTGCGTTAGTGTGCCGTTTTTGAAGATTGAATATTGTGTAGGTAACCTATCTACATCTTTTTACTTATAATATCACTGTTTTCTACTGTGAAAAATAACGCTCTCCAGAACAATTTGTTATAATTAAAGATAAAAATATTCTGAAGCAGATTTCCAAATTAGGGAAGACTGTTTGAAGTTGATCATTCACAATCATCTTGTAAAAATCAGTGAAATTCGCACTAATACTTTGATCTTTTTCCATTTTAAAACGAACGTATTGGTGAAATTGTTGTAATTCATCAGCAAGATTTGAATTTAAATGCTCAGGATACGATGCGACAAGCGATTCAACCTTGGCAAACAACTCATCGTTGGTTAAATCCATTTTTAATAAAAACGAAAACTTGTCTGCCAGCTTTTCGTAAACCTCGCCTCTCGTTTTCATCTCGACTTGAAGAGTGTCGACGATGAAATAAAAAGTCGAAACGCGAAATTTGTCCCTTGCAGATAAAACAGCATCTTCAGCTGGACCATCATTGACTTGTACTCTCCCAGTACGTCTTCAGTTATCGTTTCCCCGATAATCACCGTCGGGCAAAATTTCTTTGGAATTGTTCTCGAATTTGTCAAATCTTTCTCTGAGATTTTGTAAATAAAAAGTCAACGTTTTATACAAATCACTGCAAACTTGCAAATTAAGTTCTGCATTTTGAAGGGCTTGTGATGTTCGATGAAATTGATGCAAAATATTATTCCACGTCGTAACCATGAAAACAACTCTTGCATTTTTTTTGCAATATTCATTGCTTCTTGTCTGGTTTCCCTTTTTTGATCCATATCTTCCGAATAGAATCTAACGCGAATTTGAGGATACGATTTTAAAATTGCATCTTAGGCGTGTACTTCCCACCGCGTATTTGAGAGTTTCTTCAAAACTTTTTCATCATTGATATGATCCTTTAGTACTTTCTATCTTTGTGTAGAAGCAGAAAAAAATACGTAAAGTGTCTGCATCAACGAAAAAAGTTGACAGTCTCCAAACAACAATCGACTGCACTACGACCGACAAGATTCAATGAATAAGCTGCACACGCAATGTATATTGCATATGGGTTGAGTTGTAAAATGATACTTTGCATCCCTTTATAAATACCGGACATGTTTGCTGCGTTATCATAGGATTGCCCTCTGCACTTAGAAAAATCAAGTTTGCAGTCTTCGATCAAAATTTTTAAAACCGCATCCGCAATATATTTTCCAACGTGACTTTTTAATTCTAAAAATGTTAAAAATCGCTCTACAGGCAAATAATCAAACGGTGAAACATATCTTATGATGACGCACAACTGGTCAATGTGAGATAGATCAGGAGTTGATTCAACGGACAAACTAAAATATCCAGCAGCTCTTATTTCAGCCAAAATCGCAGACTGGACTTCTTAAATCATTAGTTCAATGAGCTCCTCGCAAATAGTTTTCGACAAGTACGACGCATTCCCTGTAAAAATGAAAAGTATAATATATACTTTTCATTTTTCACTTTTCAATATATATAGTGAATTCTCTTGAAACAGGTCACATATTGACAATGCATTGATAATATATTGACAATACATTGAAAACATATTAACTATACAGTGAAAAAATTGATCCAAAAATTTAATCATGATTAAAATGTTACCTTTTCTATTGTTTCCATAATTTGAAACGTGCGAGGCTAAAAACGGATTAAATTTAGCGACAAGTTTTAGCAATCCTAAGTAGTTCCCGTTATTCACGGATCCAAATTTTTTATCTGATCCTCGGAAAGGCAATCCTCGACTTACCAATATTTGAACGACAGATACAACTCGGTGCAAGATATGCTTCCAGTATTTAAATTCTTCCTCCATTTGGTCATCAAACTGAGGTTTTAAGCACTTTCGTCGAATCAAATTTGCAAGCATTGCTTCTCTATGAGACTAAGAATTTTCGTATTGATCAATGACACAAGTGTTACGCTAATCACTGAATACAGATACAAATCGCGACGAAACATTAGATGAAAAAGTTTACAAACGAAACAATACACGTCGCCCTTTGACGGAGAATACAGCAGCCATTCTCGAGTGTACTTTTCGCCGCTAGCCTTGGTATCATCAAAATGTTGCGAGAGCAGAATCTTGTTTGTTTTCCATCTTGGAAAACTCTCCGCGAGTTTTCCAACGAACTAGAGTGGTGTTGACATTTTTGTGGTCCCTCGTTTGTCCAGTAGGTGATATCATCCTCAGTGAGTTCAGTCCACGTTCTAGAATCATTGTCCCTGTTTCATCGGTGTGGAAGATTTGGAATTGTTGCATCATTGTTATTGTCAACAGCAAGAGATGGTTCCTGAATTTTTTGCCCGCCGTCTTCTTCCGCCACGCTTGTTGCACCATCAGGATTCTTCGGCAGCGATGTAGAGGTTTGAAAGTATGTCGTTAATTTCGGCACCTTTTTAACGACTTCTTCATCTTTTTCTTCGACTAGTTTCCGTTTTCGTGATCCACTCGGATAAACTCTCGTCATTTTTACACGTAATTATCACACATTCTAACACTCAATTTTGTAATTTTTTTAATATGGACATTAATTACAAGGAAGACATTAATTAATTCGCAACCATCCGCTTAAAAATACAATGATGTGTCTTACCAGGATTGAAGAGCACCTCCCACCCTCCCTCAATTGCGTGCACTATTTTTTTATTTAATTTTTTTTATTTAACAATTTTAAATTTGAACTTTTGGAAACGTTAAAAGCAGCTCTGGAGATGTAACGTCTGTCGCTTTTGATTTTTGTGGAGATGTTTTTTTTTTGCGCCCGAAGCAATTAAAGGGCTACCCTATACGTAGGGAGGCGGAAAATGCATTACGCATACCACGATAGCCGGTCTATCGTGGTTATGAGGGACTCACATCCTACCGGGGAACCTAAGTAATACCCTCTAAAAACAGCCTTTAGGGACAGGCAACTGGCTGATTAAGCTTTATTGTGCCTTATCGTGAGCGACCCTCTTTTGGGAAAAGAGGGCGCAGGCGGCTACGAGCCGCTGAGGGAGTGCCTACGAAGGCAAATTAATTATGAATAAATAATTTAATTTAATTAGAGTTGCCTGAGCCGCCAGGAGGCAGTTCAAGTCGTTTGATAGTTTATTAGGCGGGTCCGAGTGAGAGTTTCTCGGCCTGCGGACTCGATAGCGAAAGGGGGGTAGGGCTGCATAAGTAGCTACCTCACGAATTAAATGGTTTGAGTGCAACTCTGAGGCTTTGAAGAAGTTCTCAGAGAGTTTTTTGAGAAATTGTTGAATTGTGGGGAGCTCTAGGTCCCGATGGAGGTCGGCATTACGGACATACCAAGGTGCGTTCGCAGCTCGACGACAGAAAAGGTTTTGAACGATTTGGAATTCATTAATAAATTTGGGGTCGGCGTGGGCAAAAACGGGGCCCACGTAGGACATGACTGGTCGTATACAGACCTTATAAAGGGTACGCTTGTTTCTAAGGGACATTTTACTGTGTCGGCCCAACATACTGTTGAGCCTAGTCAGGTAAAAACGTGCGTGACGGGTTACTCTTTTGACGTGGGGCCTGAAAGTGAGTCTTACAGTCAACAAGGTACAAACATTTATACTTAAGTTTTCTATTGTTTGATGAAAACCATATATCCCCAAATTTTCAGTGTTTAGTTCTTAACTTTAAGCCAATTATTCGGTGAAACAATAGCAGGTAAAGTCCGACGTCAAAAAGGTTTCGATGAACAATAGAGGTAAAACATTTCAGGTAGCTTAAAACAAATATAAATAACCTGATCTTGGGGGGCCCCACTTCAGAAGTCATTATCTAAACTTTTTTCAATTGAAAAGACTCCTTGTATGGCAATTTTGATGTTCTTTTGATCCAGAATTTCTTGTTGAAACTAAAAACAAATAATACGCTTAATCTTTGGGGCCCCCATTTAAAGAGGCAGTTTCCCAACTTCTTTTAACTGGCAAAGAAAAACTCATTTCATGGAAATTGATATGTTGTTTTGCCTTAAAATTTCTTTTTGATACTTGGAAAAAATTAAACGCCTGATTTTCGGGGCCCCAATTTTACGGGGGCCCCAAGCAGCTACTTAGTTTGCTTATGGGTTAATCCGGCCCTGCCAATTTGGCCTTCTCTTCCAAGTGACCACGAAACTGCACGTCACTCGATATGTCGACGTCGAGGATTCCGATACTGGCTGAGGCAACAAAGGGGGGGGGGGCTTGAAACTGAGGAGATACGACAAAGGGGTTCTTTTTAGCGGTTAACGCGCAAACTTGTGTCTTCTAAGGGTTAAACTGGACTAGATTTAGTTGCCTTCAATCCGAGACTCTGTTCAGCAAAGACTCAACTTCAGACACAAGTTTGTCCCGGTACTCGGAGATGTTTTCCCGAGAAATATTGGCACGACCGGTGTACAGAGCATTACTAGCGCTGTCATCTGCATAGTAATTAATGTTACGGGTTTGCAACATATCATTTATATGCAGAAGAAACAGCGTTGGCGATAGCACGCAGCCTTGTGAAACACCAGCATTAATAGTCTTGTAATCGGAGCTTGCACCGTCTACAACGACCTTGATCCTCCGATCTGCAAGAAATCTGGTGATCCGATTGCTTAATTTCTCGGAAAGCCCATAGGAAGGGAGCTTCGAAAGAAGCGCTTTGTGCCAAACCCGATCGAAGGCAAGACAAGATCAAAGACAAGCCAATGGTCCGAAGGCCTTCGCAATGTCCAAACTAACGGCCAATGCGTCCCTCTTGGACTCAACTGCCTCCGCCGATCTATGAGTCAGGTAGACCAGAAGATCACCAGCTGATCGACCACGGCAAAAACCGTATTGGCGATCACTAATCAGCTGGTGATCCTCAAGGTATATCATGAGCTGGCAGTTTACAATGGACTCCATTGTTTTGGAGAACAAGGAGTTGATGGCGATAGGCCTGTAGCTGGACGGGTCTGAGCGATCGCCTTTTTTAGAGATCGGGTGGACGAAAGCCGTCTTCCATGATTTTGGGACTACGCTTAGGGAGTAAGAGTACCGGAAAAGACGCGTTAAAACCGGTGTCAACTCTGGAGCACACGTCTTCAGCACAATTGGGGGGATTCCGTTAGGTCCACTCGACTTGTGGATGTCCAGGGAGAAGAGTGCTTTGCGAACCGAGCGTTGGGATCGTCCGGCAAGAAGCAAACCCGCCTCCATGTGTAGGATGCAAAGAAAGACCGCATCCTATCCCAATCGGCTGACCTATAGTGCCAAACACGGCGGCAGCCTGCAGAATGCAATTGCGACTTAAGCGTGAGTGCCACTCACGGTTAAATCGCACACTCCAGACAAGACAATTGTCCGAGGGGCCTAAAGGGGTGTCGACGGAAATCTGGTATCCGTCCGGGTGAGAGGTTAGCAGAAGGTCCAACAAGGACGGTGCATGATCCTCCACATCTGGAATCCGCGTAGGCGAAGTAACCAGTTGTGTCAGACCATATGTCAAGGCAAAATCATGAACAGATCTCCCCGCATGATCGGTTAAACGTGAACCAAGCCTTTCGGCGTGATGGGCGTTAAAATTGCCAAGGATCACGATCTTTGTGGAGGGCATCTGCTGTAGCAACGAATCTGTAGCCATTTAGACGTGGTCGAAGAGTCGGGTCTGTTTTGGTATTACCGCTATGGTACCTATAGAGGCACCCGTAGACGCGCGGATGGTCGTCGCTGTCTACGCGTAGCCAAAGGAAGGATTGATTCAAGACTGCCGAGGCGTCGAGAACAGATGTCCTCACTGACGTAAACGAAAACTCCAGCCCGAGGCACAAAGAAGTGTTCCAGTTTGTACCCCGGGTAGGAGAGATACGACATATCAGCCGGAGAGTACACCTGCGTTTTGGTAAGAAAGAGCAGAGCCAGCCTCGCCTTTTCGAGATGGTAGTGGACGGCGAGGAGTTATTGATTATCCGACTCGAATTAGCTCGAGTTGAACGCAATTCGACTCGGGTTAACGCAAACTACTAAATTGTGTTTGCTCCTCACTGCTAAACGTACATAGTGATTATCAGCCTCTGCCTATACCTAAAGATTATCAATCTTTGCCTATACCTATATCTGTGGTTCTGTGGTATAGGTTTTGGCAGGAACTTGGTCGTCGACGGATTGCCGCTTCTGTATTGTCGCTTGAATAATGGTTTTAGTGGATTTTGATTTGTAATAGTGATGCGATTTTATGAATTTTTGCGCGTTTGAACTATTAGATAAAATGACGAAACAAATGCTTTGATTTTGATATAAACATCAAGTTATTTTGATCGCTTAGGCGCCTTATGAACTTGAGTGGCTATTGTCATCAACTTTCCGCTGGGTTGAGCTGTCGTCAAAATCTCCCAAAAACTTCACAATGTAACGCATCAGCATATTGTGACGAAAAAAAAATCCAAGCAGCTCACACGCATCAGATATGAAACCTTCAAATGAAATGAAATATAAAATACGAATACTTTAAATGATTTGTATAATATTATAATTTAAATTACAAGTTCGGCATAAAATATAAGAAAATTTAATTGTATAGTAAATAAATTTAACAATCCTTTTAATATATATATTAGGTACAGATATTATATAACTCTTTTCGATATACCTTATATAGTACTCACTAATTACAAAAAGATTTATATCAATTTTACCTATTACGAAGTTGATGTTTGGCCGTTCTTCACTGCTTGCTTAATCCATTGGCACATGTCGCCTTCGTATTATACCTTGTTGAACAAAACGCGTAAGCGACGCCGTTGCGGCGGCGTTTACGACTTTTTTCTCGCGAGCATTAAGCTATAATCTAATGCTTCCTATCTCATTTTCTCCCACATTAAATCTTATGAATTTATGAGTCTTTCTCTTTTTACTGTCGCTTTTTCGTATCATAGACTTTCAAATCACAACGATGCCAAAGAAGTTTTCACATCAAAATAATATATAAAAAAGAATATTCTGAAAGAAAATATAGGCTCAGAAAGGCTAGAACCCGGAGCCTTAAAGCCAGTTGATAAAAAATCTATGGTATAAGTGCCGTTTGACAGCTCATCTTGAGAAAATGGCGGTTGTTGTATTCTAAAGTATAGTCCGTCTATTTTAAGTTTATATAGAGATTGTGATAAGATTTCATTTAAAACTATTTTTTAAATGGTTTTGTTATTATTGTGTACTAGGATTAATTGCCCGTGGTGTAAGCTAAGAATCTTACTAGGTGTTAAAAAAGACGTAACTTATCTTACAACAATAAAGCGGTTTGCGACCGCATTTATTTACGAAATAATAGTTTTATTAGAATAGTTTGTGTATTTAAGTCGAATGCGGTATTTTAAATTATTAGATTGTGTCATGTTGCATTTGTTTATGTGTTTTGTTTGACCAATGTTTGTTGGTGTGTGTTTTTGAGAAATTTCCCACTAAAATGGGTGAAACTGAAGAATTTAATACACTAACTTTTGAAAAGAAACTTATGCAGTTA